TGAGAAGGGAAAGAAGTTAAAATCCTTGAGACTTCAGAAGGGACACATGGAAGATAGGAACATCTAAGTATCCTTGAATATTAACCTTGGAGCAAAATCCTTCCAACCCCATTTCTTGTGTGGGTACATGGCCGAAGAAGGCAAGTGTCTGAAGGTTTTTAAGGTACAGGGTGTTAGTGTGGTTTCTTTGCTTCCTCTGTCAGGGAGCAGCAAGGGCCTGCTGTTCCGTCCACCTGGGTGCTCCAGGATCAAATGGTGTCTCCAGGGCAGGCAGGGCTGTCCCTGACAGGCCATGGTCCCACAGGGTCTGGTCATAGCAGGGTGATCCAAGTACTGGTAGTAGGATCCACTGAGAGTCCTAGGCTAATGATGATCCAGGTCCATCACAGGCAGTGTGTGGGTACCCTGGGGGAGGCTAGTCAGGGCCTGTAGGTCCTACAGGTGCACTTGGGGCCCTGTAACAACTGAAACAACTGTGTGGTTAGGTATGGACTCTCCGTAGGCTGGCTTTGTCTTCAGTCTTTTAGATTATTTTAAAAACTCCTGAATAATTCCAGTCCACTGGTCAAAAAAGTCTCAACCCTTCAACACAAGTTAAACCTTTTTCCTACTTCACATCCTTTTGTGCTTGGAGTTGGGGGTATCCACAGAGAAGACAAAGGGAATTAACTCCAAACAGCACTGTTTTGTTCTCCATCTGCCACCCTGCTCACTCATGCTACAACAAACCAAGCTGCCAGACATCTCTGTGACACATGGTAAAGCAGGGCAGCTGCTGCCATGTCTTCATGACAAATACCCCTCCTTCTTGAAAACTGTAGGATTACAAACAAATAGGTGGGGTTTCTTTTCTTTGTTATCACTGTCATTTCTAACAGATGTATTTGTCAAAATCTACTGGCAATCCTTACAAATGCCTACCAGTGTTCTCTGTAAACCTTCCAAATGAGAAGGCCAGGAGGATCTACAATGGATTTCTTACAAAGCCAGAATTATTTGCTGTTGGGTGGGTGATTTTCTAGTCTTTATTATTGTCACTTGCTGTTTTTTAACTTGGTTCAAAGGTAGGCTTGACAGACCTTGAATGCAAATTCAGTTACTTAATGCTGGATAAGTTAAACCTCTTATCATGTTAGTTGTGTCCATTGGCTTTTAAATACCGAATATAGTTATATGATTAAAGCATTGCCTATGCAAATATTTTATATCACTAGATGTTATCTGTTACAAATGCCTATGTAATAGACATTACATTGCAAGAATTTCTCTTGCCCAATCTAGTTTTATTAGGCAATAAAAAAAGTTCTCTCTTACACAGAGAGAACTGTATACTATTGACCCTAACAGGTGTATCATGACGACAAGGTACTGAGATATTCTTTGGGAAATAAACATCTGTCCTCTCTTATTCTTATCTAGGAGTTAAAGGTATTATGCAACAGAGTTCGCGGATTTTGAAAATTCAGGAAGTCTAAAAGGTTTTTTTTCAGAAGACTCACTTTTTACAATAGGAATGGAAGCCTTTGTTTGTACTTCAGATAGCACACCAATACAAACTGCTAGAGTGATGGTTTCAGCAAAAACTTCATTTTTATTTAAAAAAAAAAAAAAATCTCAGATCCCAGCCATCTGTCTGGATTTTCAGTTCAACAGGCATTAATGAAACCACATATCAGCTTGAAAAACACTGAATAAAAATCCTCCCCCCTTTGCAAGATTGGGTCACAGATCTTTGTCTTTCAGTGGTTTTGTCTTTTCCAGATTTCTAACAAGATCCCCTAACTATATCAAATTAATTACAAAGACATTTTCCTCTGGTCTGTTTGAGGTAAAGGTTCATGAAGTCCTCTTTATAAATCTCAGAAGATCCAGTAAGGGCATACCTCCTTCCCCTTTGCAGCTCAAAGCAAAAGATTTGGGAAGAAGAAATCCTGCAAAGCTTCTAGGGGAGTTTCTGAGTCTTCGTCTGCTTAAAGAGAATTGCTGCTTCCAGACCAGTAATGATTTATGATTCTAAGAGATTGCTTAAACCAGTTCTGCAAAAATAAATGATTCCATCAAAATGTACTTCCTATGAGGTTCCAGATGGACTGTAATCAGTTATGACCTTTTGTTTGATCATAGTCTGACTACACCTACATATACACAGATTTGCCCATAACCGCAGACAAAGTTTAATTTTCTGACTGAATAAATCTAAGATTTCATTATATCGAGTCCAGACTAAAGAGGGGAATGATATCCTTGACTAAGTTTGGCTGGCCTGCTGAGGGATCACAGAAGATGAGTATTTCAGTCAGTACAAGGTACGAAGAAGGACTGCACAACCAGGATAGAGGAGTGAAAGAAATGGAACTGGTTTGTCTGATAACCAACCAGCAACTGCTAAGGTTAGTTCAGCTATCTTCTTGAAGTACATGTGCAGTCAATTAGAGTATCTGATATTTTACAAACTCCTAATGAACACAGCAATGTGAGCTCTTAAATATAGACTAAGATTGAATCAGCACTGAAGAGTCTAGCTCTGAAATCAAAAGTGAATAAATACTTTAATGTTACATAATGTGTTAGTTAACATATAACTTAGAAAAAGCTTGAAATGTTGCAATTGCCTTGTTCTGGTATTAGATATCTTTTTACTGCTCCTGTTAATAAAATAGAAAGTAAAACTAACAAACATGGCTGAAATAAAAGATTTTAAAAAGATCAGTTCACATACACCTACTAGAGGCTTCTTAGGACTCAGCCTTATCTTCTTTAAACATCCCAGCTACAGTAAGCATGCTTTACCTTAGGATGGCATGATCTGACCATGACTTAGCATTCACTTGTGCTCTTTGAATCTCCCAGGGATTGCACATGATTCGTACAGCCATGTACAGGGCCAGCAGCTCTGGCCAAAGAGCCATGCAATAATTTTGGTTCAGTGCAAGGCTGCATTAACATACTTCACTGCTTAACAGGACTTTTTAACATGATAATGAGCCTCAACTAATTCAGAAATGTGTTAATTAGTGCAGTGAGTGGAGGCAAAATCGTGACTCAGGTAGAGAAGGAACAACGCTTAGACTTTGGGGAGAAACTGAAAAGACAAACAGCAGCAAAAAGCTGAAAAATGCAGCTTGGGATATCTACTTTACAGACTGCAGTTGATAGGAAATACTGGTCACTGTCAGTATGGTTTATGTGGAAGGACGATGATGGAATAAGCAACCAGTGAGAGTAGAGATTGAGACAGAACTGACCAGTGGTGAAGAATAAGAGAAAAGAACTGACAAGGAATTAGGAATAATAGTAAGTGTAGTGGTGAGAAAAAAAAAACTAAAAAAATCAGATAACTACCTATTTGCTAAATAAGGTACGTGACCTACGGAGATAACCATGACTTTAAATATTCTGAAAATATATTCTAATGCTTACGTCTAGAGACTAGATTAAACCTGCAAAGGAAATCCTAAATCTTATTTTCATTATTTTAGTGCTTCATTTTGTTGGTATGTAAAGTATAGCAGACAAGTCATAATCTGTTAGTTCGAATAGCGTGACAGTATACAATCATGAGGGAAGATGAGATCTCAGATGCTACTAAAAATTCCTTTGCTGTATTTTAATATAATGATGACACAGAAAGGACCCACTATCTCGTATGATTTTCTCATTACAGCCATTCTCTCAAAGAATGACATGGCAAAATGTTAACTAACAGATGAACATAAGCAAGAGGGAGTTGGAATTTCCAAAGTACTACCATCTGAAATTTATATAGTTTCGTATTACACCTGCTCTTATAGAACACTATACATGTTACCTATGGATTAATGTGAAATGTGCGTCTTGATTTTTCAATGGACACTGAGTTCGTTAAGAGCAGTCTGTTAATTTATTACTGTAGTGATGAAAACGTTAGAGATCACCATCTTCTAACAGTGCCAATATATTAGCCTGTCTAAGTGCAAATATTTAAAATGTATCTTCTCTGTGCTTACGTTTACCAATTGCAAAATGGCATTATGCAACTCTGTCTTTGGCAATCATTTTTAAAAAAGCTGAAATAAATAATAGGATCAACTCATCTCTACTTTTTAATTGATTAAGGTTAACATAAACCAGAAACAGGGCCTCTGAAAATTTTGCAGATGGAAAGGTCACAATCTCACTGCCTCATCTGAATGACAAGTGCGTTTTAAAACAGTGTGCCACCACAGTAACCTCTGCCCTATGATCATAAGGAGCTTCCAGAAACAAAAAAACATGATCCTCCTTACTTCTTCAACTGAACACCTGCCCACTGCTGATCAACATCAGCTCTAGGATATAACTAAAGGACAGGAATACTGTCTTTCTTTCCAAAGAAACAGTCTAGGCCCATTTGTAGGGAAAACACTGGGCAAGGAGCAGTCTGTTACCTTCTTACCCAAGCATTTTTTAATCAAGGTGAGCAATATGCACTGTTAAATGGGACTTAGTACTCAGAACCTCTTAAAGTAATAAAATGCAATAGTGACAATGAAATACAAATAATAGATTTTTTTTCTGCTTCCCTGGTCATATCGCATTGTATTAACTCCTTTAGTCATATATGAAATAATGAAACAATTAAACTCAGGTCACCCATTATTAAGAAGCAGATAGAACCTGAACAACCTTTGATTTTAAATTTGTGACCAGTAACAAGTAATATGAGTCATAATTCTCTAAGAACTTTTGTTTATAAACAAGTCTGAAGATTTCGGTAATTACTAAGAAGAAAATAATAGAAGAAATTAAATGGACCATGGATGAAAACACCTGAAATAACTGCAGAGAGTTAAGAGATTTTAAAGCAATATAATGATTTGCAAAGCAAGAGCAATTACTCTATGAAAACATACATGAATAGCAAAATTTATGAACACAACAATTAAAAATTCAACAAAATAGATGATTGTCCAGTGAAAAATGGAGAATTTACAACAGTCTGTTTAAGTAGTAATCTGAGAACCACAGCTCTAAGGACACTGTTTCCTTCTGAAATAACTTTAATGTCTGAGGTTTTACTCCCATTCAGTCAATGCAGATACAGTCTTGAAAAGAACACAAAACATTCCATGACTCTCCCTGTGGGTGCCTTAAGCTATTTGCATATATTTATTTGCTGCCCTATAAAATATGAAGTAAATTATTCACTAGCAAATAATGTAAAACTGGCATTTCTTTTTCCAGTTCTCATAAATAAAAATCTTCATAATCTTTTTGCTTAAGAGGCCAACATACTATCAGTCATATGATTGCTCTTAATAGAGAACTTAACAATAAATTCTTAGCAAGAACAAAAAGTTAATGTAAAATCTAATCTCACTTGTGTCCCTCCCATACCCCGGGTCCGTGTCCATCCCTCCCTCCACCAATAATCCAGCCATATTTCACTATATGCTCCTCTGCCCTGAAGAACTTGGTGAACTTGTTTTTATAGCGGATTTAGAAGCAGAACGCTGTTCAGTTGTAAGCTACTTCCTGTACACTTGTTACAGGCTGAATAAATCCTAACTTCATTCATCTTGTCTGCTGATAAATCTCAGTATTCTTCTCTGCTGGTTCTAGAGGGTTTCAGGGAGCTAAAGAGCCATGAAAAGGTCATTGGGATGGAGTGAGGGAGGGCTTTTGGTGGGAGGCAATCTGCCAGATTCCCTGGTAAGTAAATATTACCAGCATGTGTTTGGGCTTGTGAAAGAACAGAATGTTAAATTTGAGTGTCACTTAGCATTGATTCAGAGATATATACAAATAGTTCACAGAGCTGTAATGGATACCATGCCAGTTTTAAAAATAACGATAAGCAGTGTGAGAAACACTTGTTTCTTAGCTGTTTTTAGAAAGAACAACGAAAAGCAGTATTCTAATGATGAATTCCAGCAGTCTTCCCAACTTGGTCAATTTTGTTCTGAAATGTGGCCAATATTTTGTGCTTTTGGTTTATCCAGTACTGTTGAATGATCCCAATTTTTAAGTAAATAGATACAGAATTGGTATTTAGTAGGGGGTACAAATGCTTCTATTTATTAGCAAAGTGCCCTTCTTTTACCTCTCTACTCCACAAAATTCTCTGAAAATTAAATCCTTGTCGTCTTATCTTCCATAGCTCAGATGCTTTTTCCAATAACTCATATTCTATTTTACTGCCATATTAATTAAAGTACTGTACCCACTACTGCTGTTTTTTATTTTACATGGAATAGAATATTTTTCTTCTCTTTGTAGATAGCTACCAACATATTGTTTTGCCTCCCCAGACAAAAATAAGCAGCTGAATATCTCCCTTCCCATGATGGTCTCATGTGCCAAGTGCAACTTGTTTCCCATGCTTTTATACGTTTATATTCTGTAATGGACATAGTTATGTTGTCCTACATCTTTAGCCCTCTAGATCAGTTAAGCAGTACAAGGTTTGGTGCTCAGTGAAACCAAAGTGTTTTCAGATTCTCACAACTTAAGAGAGGTTGCTATAAGAGTATACAGTTGTCTAACTATGCAAGATTAAACCTTTACAATTTTTTCCTAAGGGTGGCATTTTGTTCTACCAGTGATCATACCTTCTGGTAAAACATACATACCTCTGAAATGGTCTTGATTCTACTTTGAAATTTGTTGATCTTCAGATGACAAAAAAATAAACAGCTAGAAAAAGTGTTGAAAATTGCCATGAGCGACAAACAGAAAATGGGAAGAGGTGAAGAAATCAACCAGACAATAAAGGGATTTGATGTTGGTACATTTTTACCCAGGGTAACAGGAAGGATACTGAAAAACATTCTCAAATCCTTCTTCCTTCTGGCGTAAAATCTGCCAAACAGGGAAAGAAGTTACTTGCTGTAATGGCAACCTTTTCCTATAACTAGTGTTTTTGTGCAGGAATAGTGGATTGGTGGCTCCATCCTCCAAACTCTGTTCAGGCTTTCAATCAGCAGCTACACCACATGGTAGCAGGCAGGATCCGAGAAATCAGATGATTTCAAAACCTTGCCTTCCATGCTTGACCTGGGAAAATGAAAGTATGAGTGCATTTCAGAGAGTCTAGCTTCTACAAATTATAATTATCTTTGTCTCAGTTTTTTTTGTTCCCCCCCCCCCCCCCCCCCCTTATATATCTTTCTTTTCTCTAGTTCTTTTGGTTTCTTGGTTCTGCCCTGCTGTTCCCATTTCCTTTTTGTTTTCTTCAGTTTTCTTTTAGAGCAGCTTTCCTCTTGCTCTGTTATTTCCTTTGCTTAATCACATTTAACTTCTTTTTACCTTCTCATATGTAGAAACACCAGTCTGAAACCTCACTAAGCACAACTATGCACTCCTTATTTACATTTAATCTTCTGGTTTTATACATGCTTACATACAAACTACTTACTAGCTTCCATTTTTATGTTCTAAATCTCTGGATCAAAATAATGGCACTGATTAAGCCACTTTCTTTTCTTCAAAACCACAGGCATGAATTTTAATGCACATGGGTCTCTATAGAAATAGCTATAATCTTTGCTTTTTAAAAAACCTGCATATAATAAGCAATACCTAACAAGGTTAGTTATGATTATTGTCTTCCTCTTCTGCTACTTGTGTACTAGATTTCACTAGTGCTCTTATTTGGGAAAACTGGCTTTAATGTCCTACTGTACCAAAATTTTGTATTGATACAAAATTCAGCACTACAAATTTTTCTTTTGAAGTTAACTGTAAGTTGTGGATGAGACATGAATAGCGCTATCTCTAGCACTGCAGTATCTTACAGTTGTCAAGAAAGAGAAAACTTTACCTTCTCTTTTTTCCACTTCTTGTGTTCTCATTTGTGAGTTTCCTCCTCCCTTGGATGATGAACCATTTCATCCCACTAATCATCCAGGAATCTATCTTTTTTTTTCTGGATTAGTTTTCTCCTTAGTTAATTAGTTTGGTCAACTAAGGAAGAAGTCTAGTAAGTAGTGGGAATGTCATTAAGTGATAGAGAGAGAAATAGAAACAATAAGCTGTTAGATCCACACATGTTATCTATTGAAATTGCAGCCTTAATGTTAGGATTTCATATAGAGTTGTAATCTAAAATGCCTGAAGTGTCTTTAAATCGTTTGGGTTGGAGTGGGGAAAATGGACTTTATTGTACAGGCGTTTTTATTTTACCAGGGTCAAGTCCTCAGTCACCTGAATTTCATTCTTTGTAAAACCATCTGTAAATTAACTTGAAAACTCATACTTACAAGATATATGAAAATAAGTGTGAATCATTCAACAGTTGTTTCTGTTTTTTTTTTTTTTTTTTTTTTTTGTAGCGTTCCTCCTACCTCAAAAGGAAGAGAAGTATATAAGGCAGGTTCATGCCAACCTCTGGAGTAGACTGTATCACAGCTACATAAACTATAAACCACGTCTTGCCATTTGCTCTTACACTGCCAATTAGTAGGCTGATGACTACTATAAATCTGATGAGTGTCCAATAGTGACACTCATGAGAACTGGTTGCCATAACTGTCAGACCTAATCTATATTTAATTTTGCCTTGGAGTTTGGGAATGCAGTCCCTTCTGGCAATGCTGAGGTAAGGTCCAGGAATAATTTCATTATGTCTTAAGAGGTCTTACAATGCATATGCATTGTTACCAGTGTCTTGTCAGTGTTCCATCTGTTTGTGAGCTTGCCTCCTTTTCCTAGTTTCTCTCTTATTTTTTTTCTTTCCTGGCTTACCAAGTTCTTTGTGTGGATGCAACTGCAAATGAGCAGCAATGTTGCAGGGTACAGCAACTGCTATTACGTAGGAGCAACGTTTACAGCAGTTTGTCAGGGAGGCTAAGAATGCCGGGGTCATAGTATGTTAGGGAAGATGTGAAGCTCACAGTAGCGCATTTAATTTCCGTATAAATTCAAAGTGTATTCATGTGACATCTCTCTGAGCAAGAACACCAAAAAAGGAAGAGAAAAAAGGTATTTCCAACTACAGCTGGATGCAGTTAGCAGTACTTTTTCTAAAGAATGTGGGAATTAACAGAATGCCTTCTAAACTGAAAAGCAGAGAAACACAGCCTACAAGTATGACAGGATTTAGCTTCCTTTTATCCAGCCATGGTTGTAGGGTACGAGATTCTTCATTAATTAGTTTTCTTAACAGTACCCCCTATATTGTACAGTCAGTATAACACCTTTAATTTGAAGATAAATGATTCAGAAATAGTTATTTTTTAAATTTATTTTTAAATTTTGTAGAAAACGTTTAAGAGACAAATGAAAAATTGAACTAATAAAAGGATGCACATGAGAACCAGTGTACAATGAGAACTACGTAATCAGTGATGTCTTGAACTATTGAAAATGAGAGTTCCCACATACTCTTCTGCTCACACCAAATGCCTAATGCTTTTGTGACATCTCTCTACACTGAAAGGCCCCTTCTATGCACCGATCCAATTTCCAAATCTATCAGGAATTTATATATTTTTTGAATCACTTAATAAACTGAGTCTGCTCAGATGGGGGGGTCTACTAAGCTTCAGAGCTGATGCAAGGTAAGTGATAGAAGCATGTGTGTCTGGGGCTGTGAGTGTGTGGGTGCACGTGAAGGAAATGTGATCTCATTTTGGTAGGAGCAAGCTGTTTGATTGACCTAAACCATGGTTAGGTGAAATACCTTGCATCAAACACAAACACTACCCACTGTTTCCACATTTTGGAGCAGATAGCAAAAGATGACACTACATCCTGTGAAAAGGCTCAGCTTCAAAGGCTATGCCTTTGACATGCATAGAATGTCATGTTTCATTACCAAGCTACATTTTGGAAAGCACAGTATGTGGGTACAGCCCAACATCGGGACTTCATTTTTAGTTACCTTACTGTTTTATTCTGATTGTGTTACTTCACCAGTGCTACAATTTATTTAAGCACACAGTTCCCTCCTCATCTTCTTCCCCCAGGTTAATAGTCTTCGTACTGTTAATCTTGGGCCAAAAGAGTACTCTTGGAAGTTTACTGTAATATCATATGCTATTTCCTACATCTGTTAACCCTACTCGCATTGTTTGCTTCTCTGACACTCACTGTTTCCTTACCTTTTTTCTTTATACTAAAATATGCCATCAGGTACAATTGAGCATCTATTTGGAGCATGCACTCTTTTGTATATGCTGTGGCTGTCTGGTATAGCTTTATTCCTAATATCTGTAAAGACTTTATCACTGTGTAAAACAGTGGGCAAATTTTTCCTTTTTGCTATTATTTTTAGTATCAGTGAAGCCAATTAATTGCATGGTTGTCTGTGGAAGAACAATTTGGCTCAATGCCTTTGACTTTCAGCTGTTATAAGCCATTCTTTATTTCAGGCATAATGATTAAACCAAAAGAAATTGCAGAGAACACATTAGAAATTGAAAAATGGGGATTAGCTGGCACCACAACTCACAAAAGAATTAACAGACAACATTGTATGACCCAAAGCATTTCACCATCTGTACTTTGTGACACATGGAAGAGCACATTGAAGTGATAAAAGGGACACAAAGGAAGAAGAATAAAAGGCATGTTAGCTGTGGCTCAGCTGGAAAATAATATTGCTTGTAGCAATAGGCTCTGAGATCAAACGATGAATTTGCTTCTCACAAAAATCAAATAAAAGGTATGAGTACAGTAACAGTAAGTTAGCAGTGTGTGCTTTCAAAAACCTGCATGGCCAGCTGGTTTACTCATTTAAACTGAAGTTATAATTTAAGATTCTGGTCCTATAAGTAATTCTATGATGTCTTAGCATTTTGATCTGGTTAAAAAATGTAGAAGCTATGCCAGCTGTGCAAGCGCCAATAAAATGTGTTTGTGCCAACACCCCCCCCCCCCCCCCCAAAAAAAAAAAAAAATCCACATTCTTTGTTCTTGTTTGAATATTCATCTTCACCTTGATATTATCTTGGGATTGTCTTTCATGCATATAAAACTCAAAGCTCAGTAAAGTCACATGAGTACCACAGAGAAAATGGGCAGATACTGTGCTTAAAACCTCCTCTTCTCAGAATCTCTTCTCAGAGGGTAATTCCAGTAGTAATCCAACATTTTGCCAGGATTTTTATTCATATCCATGACAAAGGGACTGTCTTCTGTTTTTAATATATCTCACTGAGCAGCAAATAGGTATTTAGAGCTAAACTGGTACTTTGCCACATTTTGCAAGTTTGGGTGAAAAGGTAGAAATGCAAGAGAATTAAGCTGATGAAAGACTTTAGTTTGCGTGGAACTTCTCACCCTTTCTTATTGCTCCTTGGATGACCTCTGGATTGGAGCCAACACTGATGCCATTCAAGTTAAAAATCTTGAACTATTGTCTCTTAAAATGTCATCATTATGCTGGAGAGATGTTTGATGAAAGTCCCTTTATGTCTTAAAAAACCGAGGCATTAAAAAAATGAAGAACTTGCTCTGGAAATGTTATATATTGATATATGTCATGTCATCATCCAGCAGATTAATATAGATATTTCACCACTGCACAGTGGGGGAAAACCAACAAAAAACCCCCAAGCTCCACCTCCTGTCCCAATTCACTGTTATTACAGAAACCTGTCCTATTGCAGGACTAATTTGGCACATGAGGGTCATAATCTCATATCAGAATTGGGAGTTCACATGGGATGGAAGAGTAATGTGATTGAAAATAAGATATGGAATGCATATACAGAAATAGAATAATAAAAAGTAATCAACATGAGAAGCTGTATTTTTAAAATGCTATGAAAACAAAAAGACCAGAAAAAATATTTTCAGGAGTCTTCATATACTTTTTTGCAAGAAGCATTCACATTGTACATTCCTACCGGATGTGCTCCCCTTCATAACTTGTAAATCATATGTATCAGCCTGCAACTAGTATTTATTCCATGACTGTCTTTATTCTTTTCCATTTAACAAAGTCACTTTGTGAATTTTTAATAAAGTCAAAATGTATCAAGATGAGAATAATACTCTACACATCAGAAACTTTACTGGTTTAATCCTTGTTTGATTCCAGTACAGCAAATGCTATTATTCATTTTTTTACAGATAGAAAAAACAACATAAAAAAATTCATTTAAGTGTCAGGTAAAGTCAGTAAGAGTATTTTTGGACTTCCTCAGGTACTCTGTTGTTGTAGGTATTATAGCATAACTATTAATGGGATGGATAGCCAAGTTTAAGGACAACCAAGGCAACGTGAAATCATGTGTGAAGACAAAAACATACTAATCTTCAAAAGTTGCTTGGTTGATACATTCCAAGATCTCCCAGGGTTCTGAATTCATGCTGTTTGTCAGAGCTGGGACAGCATTAGTGTTTTGAATGTTATCAAAATAAAATTTTAAAAAAATCCTTGTTCAGAATTGTGTAGACTTCTAAATTGAAAATAAAACAATCAAATTATGGAGTATCAAATGAAAATCAAGCCAAAATTTATTTCAGTATTTAGTTACATTACAATAACTCTTAAAATGATCAATCTTTAAAACTTCAAATATAAGAAGAATTATCCATTTCACGTTCATTCTGACCACTTACAAGTCACAACTTATTTACTAAAGGATTCTGCATATGTAAGCTGAAGTTAGCTAAAAGTTTTACTATTGAAGCGGAATTATTTGATGTTTAAAACAAGATTTAAAAAGGCAAAAATGAGATTTCCATCTTTGCATTCCTTTCTTCTACAAATGCTAACCTTTTCTCTATAAGACAGTACAATTTAGAATTTAAGTGAACAATTAGAAATGTGGCAACTCCTGGTTAGTACAAATTGCAATTAATATACAGATTCTCAAGAATTTTAAACCCCAAAGAAATTATAGAGAATATTATTCTGAGGCAATGCTTTGGGCTGTATACACGTGGCCATTTTTTTTCCTTCATACTTCTTCTGTGCAGTGAACTGAAAGTTATTTCAGCTACCTCCTCTATTATCACATAAAGGGGTTTTAAAGACAAAAGATGCTAGAATCAACAATGTAAGTGATTAGAGCAGTGGTGGATTGGGGTTTATTTTTGTTTTGTTTTGTTTTGTTTTGTTTTGTTTTGTTTTGTTTTGTTTTTAAAGAAGCTTTCTTGATTTCCATTTACGATCAAGGGAGCACTAGCCTTCCTTTTAAGATGACTTTTCTTGCGAGTCAACTTGTGGCAGAGTCTAGGTCCATCACATTTAGGGGCTTTCTCAACTCAAAAAAGCTAAATTTGATTACTTTTCTGCATCAGGCCAATAGATCACCTTCTGATTGTAGAAATTGCCAAACTGTTAAGTTTCTGCACTACGTTTGAAGAAAATACAGTAGTTCATCCAAACCAATCACACAGGCTAAAAAAGACTTACCTCTTTCATGGTATTCTGAAGTCAGTACTTGCCCAGTTAGCATCTAGTGTTTCATCTCGGCTGCTCTGTTACACTTCTTGGGCAGAGAAACACTCCTCAAGACAAGTGTGAAAAAACTCTCATTCACCTGCTTGGTTAAAAAGGATAGAATGCATTTCTGGATGAAGGCTTTATAAAGGAACTTACTTATTTTTTCTCAGTTCAGCCCCCAAATCAGACAACTGAAAAAAAGGACAGTGATGGTTAAATGCCACTTGTTTGCAGGCTCATGTTTGTCAGAGTCTGGGTGGATCCAGTGGACAGTTTACCAAAGTTAAATTTGTGGTTTAAAGGCAAGCAGTTAGATTACTTGCAGAGCCTAGCCTTACTGTCTTTCTGTTGTTGTAGTCTAAGCAAATCAGTCATTCTTTGTGTGGAAGAAAAGACATGTTAACTGTTTGTGGACAGAAAAACAGATGATAATGACTGCCACCTATTACATTCTGAAATAAAACAGTTTCTGCATGCAGCAAAAAAATATGTTGGCAATCCAAAGACTAAAATAAGCAAACAGGGCAGAACTTTCTCGTCTAAGGGCTGTTTAATGCACTAAAATAGGGTTCTTTTCTTCTGGCTATCCTGAATTCAGTGCTCCAGCCATCTCTGTCACTTTCTCATATATAACTTTTTAACTAAGAGGGATGTGGCTTGACTCTATGTTTAATTTATAAATTGAAAAATTTTCCTATGTTTCAGTGGATATTGGCATCAACTAATCAAATTGTAGGAGGTATAAAGTACTTGTGTAAAGTATTTAATTAAAAGATGTATTTGCATTCTTTTTAGGGTAAGCTTACATACGTAATTATTTTATTTATTTACAGTGGAGGGAAAGAAAAAAATTCTGCATTCTTTGTACCTGTTTCTATATTCATCTTCACCTTGTTATTATCCTGGGATTGTCTTTTATGCATACAAAACTCTCAAAGTTCAGTGAAGTTACATGTGTGCTGCAGAGAAAATGGGAAGATGTGAAAAATTTTGACCTAGAACACTATTAAAAATAGGTCAGACAACTAACCGTACTGAAAGGAACACAACTTCACTGTCACAGAGGGGAGACATGGTGACCTGGTTATGTATTGTTAATTTTTCATCCCTTTTGCACTACAGTACAATGAAGATTCTTGACCATCTGTCCACCACTAGTGGAAATTAGCATTACATTTTTCATAAAACTAACAGCAAGAAAATGACCCAAAAAAATTTAGTGTTACCAAATAATGCAATGTTATTTATGTTTGCTCTAAGATACTAACGAACCTTTGACTGCTCTGCAACTGAACTTAACTGGCTGGGAGAACAGAACATGGGCCTCTCAGACTTGACGCTTGAGTTGACTTGCCATACACTGTTCCAGCGCTATTGTCCTGCAAAGCCCACAGGCATCCTTTAACTAATATGGCAGAGCCTCTCTATTTTATACTGATAACTTCTGAGGAAGAAAGCTGTTGGCTGAAAGGAACACTGGATAGGTAAGCTTTTTAATTAAAGTGATCAATATTAAATACAATTGGGTTTCCTCTATGTTTAATATAGAATATAAAGAATAAATATAAGAAATACTTAATGTGAATTCTCAACTCAGAAGTTGTATTTATGATTATCTAGTCTGGCCTTTGTAACAGATGCATAGATATCCTGGGAATTTCTACATCAAGCCAGTATGTTCTGAGTTGGAGTACTCAAAATACTTTTGATCTGGATATGACACTAATGGGAGAAGGCTACCTACTGACTATATCCCTCAGTAAAGTAACTCTATTTGTACTGCTACTGTTTTTACTGTACATCATTGTCAGTTTAAATGTCTAACGTCATCTGCATGACACTGAGATGTTTAACAGCTGCAGAGTTCCCTGAGTGAATGAATTTACAGAACACTAAGAGATGTAAGTTTATATATAGCTATTAAAATTTTTAAGATGAAGATATGATGACAAAGATGTAAAACTGACAAAATATACATAGCTGGAAAAAAAGTTATGTTTCCTCTGTAGTCTACACAACATATCTTATGTAATACTGCTAAATTGCACACTATTGATTAAACATACAGGCTATGGGAAGTTTCAGACAGGATTAGATCTGAACAGCCAGCACTCACGTCCTGATTTAGAACTCAGTGCAGTGTAACACACAGTGCAGCAACCTGCGTAGTCTAGACAATAGTATCAGCATCATGGCAAAATCTGTCTCATTGTCAAAAACTTTTCTGCCTTGGGCTAGCAGTGCTTTGCTTTTGCTGTTTGCTGCCATCTCATGTGTTTTAAGCAGTATTGCAGTGAGATTCTGCAAGAGAACTTTTTCTGCCTCAGAGATGACCTTACTTTAAATAGCTATGCTACTGTCATGTTAAGCAAACATCTTGCTTAAATTCTGAAAAGATTTCTTAGTATTATTGCTATGCAATATGGGAGTAATCTACATTCAAAACCAAAAATGGTATATTCTGCACCAGTTTGGGTGAAATACCATGCTGTGCCCAGTTTTCAGTTTCCCACTGCATGAAAGACATTGACGTACTTAAACAAGTCCAGTAGAAGGATTGTCAGGGCCTGGATGATACAATGTGTGAGGAGCAACTGAGGGAGCTGGGTTTGTTCAGCCGTAAGAGCACACGGCTTCAGGGTGATCACATTGCTGTCCACTGTTACCTAGTGGGAAGGCATAGAAAACACGGAGCCTCCTTGGAAACACAGAGTGATAGGACAAGACAAACATATAAACTGCAGTAAAGGAAATTCAGATTATGTTAAATAAAAAAAAAAATCACTAGGAGTGGTACAACACTGAAATGGGGACCCATGACACCTTGTTATGGAAGACAAATTCATAACCTTAAACAGACATCACATAGGAGTGGCTTCTGACCTCTGCCCAGGGTGTTGAAAGAGAGGATATTTACACTATTATACAGAAGAAAGACAATTTTTTGGTCAGAAGCTTGTGCTGCCTATATATTGCATCAGCAACTTAAATGGGTTACAACCTTTTTCCTCAGTGGTGGTGGACACATGACCAGCGGTTTTGTTACTAGCCAACACTAACACAAAGGCATAGCCCAAAGCATGAAAGGCAGGAAGAAAACTTACCAAAACCTCAGCAAGAAAAAAATTCTTCACTCCAGCTAGAACATGTCAGCAAATACATAAAAATGTTATGTTATTGCGTAACTATTCTGAAGAAGGCCACTGTCCTTACCTCCATCTAGCAAGACAGAGGCGTTAAGCTACTGGCCTTGAAAAATTATGTCAAAGCAGTTTCCCATAACCATGGCATGATGAGGGTTAACATTCTCAGACTACACACCTGGAGCCTCAGCCCACCTGGTGTGAGTGCTGAGCCAGTGGCACAGAGAGGTGTGTGCTTTGGCAATACTGTAACACACTCCCAGCAGGTAATGACCTTGCAGAGACTTGTCACCAGGAGGAAGACCAGATGAGGAGAGGTGCTGACTCAATGCTTTCAAAAGTCACTGTGTGCTTTCTTTTCAACCAGTACGCAGCAGGACTCTCATAGATCATATTCAAAACCAATCCTAAGTCATCAATCTTTTGTGCTTTATAATTGACCCCATGAGCAGAGAATGAACCGAATGAGAAGCTGCATTCAACTGCACTGTTTTTCCACCTGCAAGCATTAAATAAACATTTCCTATATCACCCCAAAGGCTTATGGAAGAACGCAAGCAGCTTCCTCTGTCTCTTCTACTTGTTATTAGTGAAACAAAATTCCTTTCCTTAGGCAGATGGTGATGACTCATTTAAAACATTGCTGGACACAGTGATGTTGTACTTTAGATAAAGTGCCATGTGTTTGCAGGTGGCTGAAGATACAGTATACACAGCACTACTATCATTTAATGTACAGCACTGTGCCCAAATAACAAAAAAAATTAAAGCCTCTGAGCACAGCAAAATTACAGCATTAGATATGTTCCTTTTTTTGAAAAAAAAGTATATTTATAATCCTGTATTTTCAGGTTCCATTAGTACTGAAGGAGGTCTCTGGCACTTAAATTCAAGTGCAAAGTAAGGCTTATTTCAACATAATGGGTGTGCTTGAAGAAGTGCATCTAAAAAGAACTTGTCCTTCAGCTATCTTTTCACTCTAGAAAGTAAATGCATGACATACAGCACTGTGAGGTGTTGTCACTAAAAGCAACATTAAAGTTTTGGAAACAAAATCACTTTCATGTAAGTGTACTGACAGGTACGGCACCTGACAGTGTGAAAGAGGTTAGGACAACCAAGCCGACCTCGCGGCTTGCTCTGACAGATACACCGTTCCTACGGACCTGAAGGGTCTTGCCTGTCGAGTATTGCTGAGGTTAACCTACCGACTTTGACGGTAAACTCAGGGGTCGTGTTTCCCCTCAGGCTTTACCCGGCAGGTGCGGCGGCCGGCGCCGCGGAGAGGGCACCTGCCAATCCGCCGCATCTCCCAAAGGGCAGCACCTCCTCGGGCTCCCACCGGAGCGACAGCCACCCCCAGGCCCAGGCCCAGGCCCAGGCCCCGGCCCAGGCCCAGGCCCGGGCCCGCGCCCCGCCCCTGGCAACAGTTACCGACGCCAAACGCCGCTACTATGCCCGCCGCCCCGCCCCGCCCCGCCCCGCCCCGCCCCGCGCCAGGTGGCCGCTCTCAGGGCTAGGGGGTTTCCACGTGACCGCCGCGTGGCTCCCCACCCCGCGGCGGCGCGGAGACACAGCCCCCCGCGCCCGCAAACACGCGGCCCACCCGGAAGCGCCGGTGGCGGTACCGCCCTCTCTTTGCACGTGACGAGGGCGCCGCTCCTCCGTCACGCGCTCTTCCCCCCGCCCACCTCCTCCTCCCTCCCCTCCTCCCTCGGCGTCCGGCCCGCGCCGCCACTATTCCCCCGTGCTTGCGAGCGCTGCGCGCATGCGCAGCTGTCAGCTGTCACCCGCTTGCGGGCAGCAGCCCCGAAGGGACCGGGGAGGCGGTGGCGGGAGTAGCGGACCGGACCGGACCGGACCGGACCGACCTGACCTGCACAGCCGTCCTTCGCCTTCCTCTGGCTGCGGCTGCCCGCTCTACCCTGTACCAGGAAGGTGAGCGGAGAGCGCCGGCGGTGGGTCCGCGGGGTGGAGGTGTGGGGCGACCTGCCGGGTGCGCGGTGTGCATGGGGCGGGGGCGGGCAGGGGAAGGCTGGGACCGCTATAACGGCAGTGAGGCGGTGCTCCGAGGCATCAGGGTTTTGGGGTGCGGGTTTGGGGGGGGGGGCAGGCTGTAGGGGTGGGGTGCGAGGGGCGAAGCGGGTGCCGTGCTGGCCGGCAGCCGGCCGGTGGGGTGGGTGAGGGGTTGGGGCTCCCCGCGTCCCGGAGGAAGACGGCCTGGGGGGGTGCTCCGCGTTGCGGGTCGGCGGGTGGCGGCTGGGTCCGAGCTGAGCAAGCGAAATCGGCAGGTGCCGGAAAAACACCTCTCGCGTTCCCGTTTGAGGCCAGCGATTCTGGGTCAGGGCAGTCCGTGGAAGTTCTCCGAGGGATCGGGCGGTTTCCCCGGGTGTTCCGAGTGGGTGGACGCGGTACAATACGGCGTTACCTGTCTCCGTGTCCATCTGGGCTTTGAGGAAATTCTACGGACTTTCCAAACAGGTCTCCTCCTTACAAAGTGCTGCCGCGTTGCTACAGCTCGTTAGCTTCTGCAGGTCATTAAGGCGTTCCTGGAAGTTAACAGTTGTAGAGTGTTAGAAAAAGACTTTAGACCTATCTTCTGTCTAAAAGACCCAGTTAAGCACCAGTTCCACATCTGTCTGTGGTTACAGTGTTTTCAGAGCCAGTTTTGGGAGTGGGGCTTTATGCCATTTTAATAGTCTTCTGTTAATGAACCTTCTCTCTTCTGCAGTTGATTTTGACTGGCAATTGAAAATGAGAAGTGTATACAAAATATACAGTAGGTGATTTCCTACCTGACTTTAGTAAAAAATATTGATTTGAGTAGATTTAGGATTTTCTCAGTTTAAACAGCTCTTGATTGGTCTACTTCTTAGTTCTGCAGTTAATTCACTTTAAAACTTTCAGGTTTTTTTTCTATCGGTGTCTTTTGCTGGGATATGTTTTCTCAGCACAATGCTGAGCAGAATGTGAATAGGGTACATGGTGCTGTCAGTTTTGGACAAGTTTGATGTTCTGAAGATGATTTTGTCTAAGGATTCCATTGCTGAAGACTGAGATGGTATTCAGGAAAAATACAACTATAAACTAGCCATAGTTACTGTTTTTTCTGGGTATCTGTTGTTATCAGCTGTGGGGACTGTAGGCCTGACCATCTACTGCTGAAGGCCATTCTGCTTCCAGCTAGGACTGATGAAAGAGTAAAGATTAAAACAAAAAGAAACATTTCACAGGACAAGGCCTTGGGAAGGGATAATAACCTCAAATATAGTAGAGCCTTGCAAAAGAAACAAAACAGACGAAGGCTTGAATTGAGGACCAAAGCAACCTTCTTTGGCTCTCTGCTCAGAGGAACTGTAAAGACTTAGCAAGTTGTGTCCTTTAGATGAATTTAGCTCGTTATAATGTGAAAGCCACACCTCTTGATGAGAAAAAGTCCCCTACTTAGGTAAGACCCCCACCCTTTCAGTTTGCACAGAATAGTAAAAAGACTGTATCTTTAAATCGAGATGAGGCATGTTGTTAAACTGAGGAACAAAGTGATAAAAAATTAATAGTCACTACATTAAAGCTGCGTATTCGTGTAGTTTGAAGCATATAAGAATCTCGCTTGCCTGTGTGCAGTGTGCTAGCTTTGTGGAATTACCACCTAGCATCCAGCTCTGCACAGATATGGATTAAACAAGTATCTTGACACTATGTTTTTTTCAGCTCATTGCACGCTGGCGGAAAGAACCCAGAGTTTGGGACAACAGGACTATGGATTTCCCACCTGTGTTTTCATTAAAAAGAAAGTAAAAGCTCTTGAAACGTAGGTTGCAAATAAAAATGAGAAAAATACTTTTTTATTTATTTTTTCCCCCATTCCCATTTTTCCTCAATCAATTATTTCAAGATGTTTTTGCATGCTGTGAACCTGGCATGGGAGATGAATGTCTACAGAATGAATACAGGTCATTTTTTCTGTTCAATATTTATGGGTTCAAAATAGGAAATTTTTATATTTTTGGAAATAATTGCTGTAAGGGTAGTACCAGGCATAGAAATGCAAACTTGAAGCTATAAAACTACTTAAAGCTTTTTAGTCAAATTGAGATAGTTTTAGGAGTTTCAGAATATGGCTACCTATCCAGATTCCTGGTTTCTTAAGTTTCTGTAATCCATTAAATACTTTAACACTAACATTTTTAAACTTAATTGATTCTTCCTGATGACTGCTGGATGTCTGATGAATACATGCCTGACCATGTGGTTTGGCTTATAAATGCCTCACATCACAAATACAAAACATTATGGCCCATACATTTATTTTAACAGCTTTATTTTAACACTTATGATATGTATTATAAATATCAGACTGGAAATTCCTGATAAATAGCATCTTTTTCTAAGCCAGGTGCATAAACTAGACAGACCTAATTTGCATGCACACTTACCGTTGTTAAAGAAAAAATTCAAATATAAGGATGCAAAACCGAATTACATTGATAATTAACTATTTGCATTCTTAGTAATAGTTGGACATACAAACTATGCTTTTGTGTTTCTAATTACATGAAAGTCATTCCTTTAGCTAGTAATGGACTGTGCACTATTGCAGTAACTTACATTTTGGGATTTGCTTTTCCAAACAATATAGGGAATTGGATGGTACCTGCTTACAGTTTATGCTAAAAGTTTTTAAAAAATTATGTTGGAAAATGCAGAAGTGAACCTACCTACATCTGTTGTAAAAATAGTTTATGGAATGAGCTCATGGAGTTTTGATTTTATGTTGTAAATAAGATTGCTCTCTGGGCTCTGATAGGTTAAGACCTGCTTTTCTACTGCTTGTTTCATTTCCAGCTCTTGCAGAGCTGATTTTACAATCTACTTATGTTTTTTGCCAAACAGACTCTGCAAATAGGAGGTTGAGGAGAACTACAATTTTTTTTCCACTAAGTTTTGTCAGTAGTGTCTTTATTGAATAATTCCTAAAAAGTGATGCCTAGTACTTCATAATGTGAATGCTCTCATTCTGTGTTTCTTTCAGATCAGTCTCAACAAAATGCTTTGGCTTTTTGTGCATGCCTTTCTCTGGACAAATTTATTTTCTTGTTGTTAGTTATTTGAAAAATATTTCTCAGGATGAATTAATTCTTCCTCAAATGTTTGCTGTCCAGTAGTTAGTGAAAATTTGGAAGAAAAAAAGAGAGAAAAATGTGTGTTTTAACTAATTTATCTGTGAGAAATGACGACCTTCAAAAATTTCTTCTTTTTTCTTCCTGTCTTCCCTCTTTTTCTCATTTACTGGAGCTTGCTTTATGTAATTTGTTTGATTTGGGTTGTTGAGTAAAGACTGTGGACATTGATGTTTTATATATTAAACACACAGAAATAATAAAATAATGAGAGCTTCCAAAATATGGATGCGCTTATTTTATGATGCAGGTATGACACAAATGGCCTGTAGTTATTTAGTGCTTTTCCATGTTAGCTAATTATTTTATGTATAGCAGAGTAGAGATAGCAGGCTGTGTTTTTTTTTTTTTGTTTTCTCCTTTCTTGTTCAGCAGTGCTTTCAGTACAGGGACCGAAGTGGGCATCATTTGGCAGTCAAGCGATGCCTCCCACAAAGCATCTTTGGAAGAGCAAGTGTCTCAAGTCTTGTGCAGTTTAAAGCCAGAAAGTATTGGTTCCCTGATGGTGAAGGGTGGAACTCAAATTACTGGTTAGTTCATTTTACACTAGAAACAAAAAGGAGATAGCCTTCAGTTGAGATCTTGACAGCTTAGTATTAAGGTGGAGAAAGAATACTGTAATACTGCAAGTAGGTGTCAGGAAGACTGCTGGTTTTTGTGCATTTTAACCAACTGCAAATCAACATGTGCTGTTTTTCTGGTGTGTTTCATTCTGTGTTAACAGAGTGTCTTTTAGTTGTGTGAATCAGTGCCTTGCTTGTAATTTGATTAAACACAATTGCTAGTTTGGACTTCTATATTGGGTATCAAATAAACGGAATTTGGAAGATGTTTTCCAATTCTGGGGATAATATATTCTGTGTTCTTTTGAGGGCATGGAGGATTCTGCATGAAATAATGTTGTTTAACAGATAACTCTTCCACCAATAGATGGTATTTAGTATCCTGACACCTTTAACAATATGGTAAGGTGTAGTCATTACAAAAAGCAGTCAACAGTTTTGACAGGTGGGGCTGGAGACTGTAGCTGACTGGTACTGATTTGGATAGTTGAGATTTGGTGGGGTATAGGGGTCCTTTCCTTTTCTTAAGTTACAGAAGAAGCGATCCTGTAGATTCTACACTTACCAAACAGTTATGCAGAATAGTGTATCGTCAAACATGTAATGCAATGCACTTCTGTTCTGTAAATGCAGGTCATTAACTTGTCCCATATCTGGCCTTAATTACTAATTTCAAAACATGCAGAAAGTTATTATTTTTTTTCTTCCTCTCTTTTCTGTTTTTTTTTTTTTTTTTTTTTTTTTGTGTGTGTGTGTGTGTGTGTGTGTTTTTGTTTGGTTGTTTTTTTTTTTTTTTTTTCACTTTGGTCACCCCTGAGAAGTTTGTCATAGTCTTTTATCACCTTTTTGTTCTGGTTGTTAATGTACATACCAAAATATCAAGTATGTTATGTTTGTACAAGCTACACAATTTAAGTATTACAGGATAAAAAGCACATCCCCTTGTCATCATAACTGGTGAAATGCATTTGCATCTTGGATTATGTAAATACTGGTAGCATTAATGAGATTTCATCTTACTGTGAGTATATGAGCTTTTCTAGTGTTGTACTTTGACATTTTGAATTAGGTTTATTAGATTTCTCTAATATGGTCACATAGTGACGTAGATGTGGATGATTAAACTTTGCTGACTTCATGTTTCCACTTCTGTAGTATTAAGATAAATATAGCATTAATACATTTCCATCTGATGATTTGAAAGTCTTTTGACAAGTACTGACAATGGCTATAAATTTTTTTAAAAGGAATATCAGATTCTTTAACCCAGCTATTGGCTCTTTAATTGACAACTTTGGACATGTTACATGCTTGCATTTTATCTAAATTTGGTGCTGTTTAATCAGGCACGTTTCAAGACATAGGCAAACTACTTGGTCAACATGAAGTTGAAGCTTTATGGGCAGGCTTTGCAGTTTGTTGGATCAGGCTTATAGCTTGAGCTTGTTTGACTAAAGCTTTCCCATGATAAGCTAAAAAGCTTTTTCTGTTCAGTGTTACACAAAGTACTAATGCATGCTAATTTAAGTGGAGTATGTCTTCTAATTTATTCACATTACCATCTGCTTTTATAGGTAGTCATGGGCACCTTGTCAGTATGCCTTACTGTCTTGCAAGGGGTACAGAAAATGGCTGATTACAGTGTTGATATTAGGGATTTGAAATAGCAGTAAAAAAAAAAATCCCTGTATATATACTACTTCTCTTTCTATTTTATAATGTGCAGCCCAAATGCCCTTGTTTCTATAGCTTTGTATTTACTAATGTCCTGCATATTTTCATTGTGTAGTAGTAAACAAAAACTCTGAAAGTTTTATTTTTCAGCTTGTACAGCTCTGTAGTATCACAAAATAGGTAGCTATGCATACACCTAAGTGGAATAGTTAAGACAGTGATGTTATGATTGCAGTATCGATTTTATTTTAGAATGGCATCTTAGTAGTTATGTTCTTATCTGAAAAAGAACCTGTGAGGGCCTTTTAAGTCTTATTCTGGACTATATTTTATGCTTTCTTGTTTTAATGATTTTGTAGGATATAACTGAATTTTTGCATTTGAGAGAAAGAACAAAAGTAGGAACTAGTGCAAGGAATTATGTAGGACTCTTGAATTCCACAAAGTTAGTTTGATTAACAGTCCTTGAGTAATTTCTTCCTTGTGGCTAGGTTATATTCAGTTAACTTGGTACATTGCTGTTTTTGAAGCAACTTGGGTATTATAACTGATACGTTTTGGTGAGATGTCTTGGTTGAGAGGAATTTTTATCATACTAATTTATGTGATATTTATTCTGTTGTACCCGTTGCTTGAAATCAGGTGCTGGCCAAAATAATTTGGTATATTTTCACTTAGATGATCCACTTGTATGGCTTTTTTCTTGTTTCCTTACTCCTTTTCATAAGAAATGTGGGAAGTTGGTTATCTCTCAGTCTTGTATCCCTTCACCTTAGACAAATTTAATTCCAAAACTTGCTGAAGACAGAGCCTTGGGTTTGTAGGAACACATACAATCACTGTGCTTGTATATGTTTTGTGCCCACGGGTAAAACTAGGATAAAAAGTATGATACTAGATTTCCTTGAGAAAATGTGCTATAAACACAGAGGTATGGGCTGGACTGAATAAATGTCACTCATTATAGTGTTTGTGGTGGGTGAGGGCTGAGTATTCTTAAAGGAGTGAGGCGAAAAAGTAAATGTGTTTTGTGCCTTTTATTGGAAGCTTTTTTTTCCTGTTTGTAACATGTATGTTGAATCTCAGAATTTGTTTTACAAATTATTCTCTTCAGTGTATGATGATTTTTTTTTTTTTTAATAGCTGGATTGAAGGTGAACCACAATGTCTGCTGTTACCTCAAAATGTCCTCCAAATCAATTCAAAATCATGACTTTTAGGCCTACGATGGATGAATTCAGGGAGTTCAACAAATACTTAGTATACATGGAATCACAGGGTGCTCACAGGGCTGGAGTTGCAAAGGTAAATATCTGTAACGTAGAAGGAAAATTGTTCCTAATATCAGTTTCCCCAGTATTTGTATTTTGCTGATTGCAAAACTGACCTTTTTTGTATTTAACATTTTCTCTAAATGATTTTCAATGAATAGATACTGATCTGTTACTGTTTTAAGAAAGAACTTCTTGGTATTTCTCATATTTCATTCAAATTAATGAAGATGGTGTATAGTGTTTTCTCTCCAACCATCAATTGTTTCCATGTTTACAATAGCAAAAGAGGATCGCTTCTTAAAGAAAGATTTAAACTAGTTTTTGTCAAATCAGAACAAAATAGTGAGCTCATAGTATAAATTGGAAAGTCCTGATGTTGAACTCAGTCTTTTGGAGTTTTGTATAACTTTGCTGGAGCAAATAATTCCACTACAGTCAATGAGTGTATGCAAGAAGATAGTGAAGCACTGTTTGAATGGAAATAATTTTCTCTTTTATGGTGATTGTGTCATTTTGTTGTTAATGAGAATTATAAGTACACTAACTACCATTGCATTGCACTTTGAACAACGGTATATGCAGGATTTTACAGCAGGTGTTTCCCTCTAACAGAGAGTGATTGTCAGAGAATAAGTCTGGTGTAATTTAGTATTACATCACATAAGTACTTATATATAGTATTTTTATATAGATATATAAAAGTACATATATATAGTATGTATATATTTATATATCTAAGTATTTATAAGCTGTATCTGTTTTGCCACTTTTCAAATCAGCAGGACACAGTGCATGGGTCTAGAAATCCTAGCTTAGTAACTGTAAGTAGTCAGTGGGAATAGCTGTCTTCATCACTGGCTTTTTAAGTTAATGTTGCAAAGCCAAGACATTTAAAAATTCAGAGAACAGAAACAAAACCTTTAATTCTTGGTTTCCCTCTGTCCACTCTGTCCTCTCTACAAGGTTTTCAAAGTGTGAGGGGTTTGGTTTTGCTTTGTTTTACGGGAAGTAGTTTTTTTGGTTTCTGATTTCTGAGGGTTGTGTACATGTAGGTCATATTTTCAAACTATTCTCTGCAAACAAGAGTATGTGATAAATAGGTGACAGAGGAAAGCCTGTGCTGAATTTTTTATGTATTCCACTGTATAATGGAACCTATTTGTTTGTGTGTGGGTGAACTATTGCAGTCCTCTCATCTTGAACATTAAACTTAACAGCAAATTCATCATGGTGACATTTGCTGCTCAACAGATTTACGCCATTAACATGTATGTGAGCAGGAGATTCTAGCTATGTGTCATTTTGTGGATTACGTACATGGACTCAACATTAAAAAAATGTCTTATTTTCATATTGTTTGTATAAACAGCATTATTTCAGTTGTTGATAATTTTTAATCCTGTTTCATGGAGATCTAACCAAAGAAATAAAGTACTGTATGACCAGCCACTAAGGTGATACTGACTTTTTTCTATTTCAATTTGTTTCTTCTTATATAACCTGTTTGTTTTCTTTGTTGTGTATAAAACAAAGACAGGTATGTATAAATAGCAATTCTTGCTTTCTCTGTCTATATGAGGAAGTTGTTATATGAGCCAGGATTAGGGTGTAATATGTTTAGGAAAAAACCTAAAAGATAAACTAATTTTGTTTAAAAAGAATATTTGTGATATGGCTTTAAAAACTGTTTATCTGTTTACCTCTTTGACAATTCTCAGGAGGTGTATCATCAGAAATTATACTATAATCCTTAAAACGCCTATGCAAACTTCTGTTTTTATTTCTGAGACAATCATATTAAAGAGCAGCTTCAGTTAATCTCCATCAGTTTTTTTGTGCTGCTTCTTTTCTGTCAGGGATTGAATCAGCTGGGAATGATGGTCAGTGGCTTCCTGATATATGCTGCTAAATGCTCCTCTGAGTCTGCTGGTATACTTAATATTAACTGTGGGACTAAAATACGTCATGCTTTGAGCCCAGACTACTAGTCATTTGTGTGTGTGAGCTTTAGGATATCTGGAAAAGGAGACTTTTTCATGTCTTGGCATTTTTGGTTGTAAAACTTCAGCCAGTAGGAAGTGTAAAAAGATAATGAATTTGTCAAATTGGAAATATTCTTCAGATTTTTTTGAGACATAATTATGGCTTCAGTTGTCCTGTTTTGCTTCCTTATTTTGATTCTGGTTCTGGTTCCTTTCCTGTCATCAGCAATTGAACTTCCATGTGCAGATAGTTGGAGATAGGAGGAAAGGACAGAGCCATTGAGGACGTCCTGAGGAAAGCAATGGACATAGTAACATTAGGAAAGTATGTGAAAGAAAAGAATGTGAAACAGTTTTGCCTTTATTGTGTAGATTAAAATTTCTCTAATACCGCTGTCATCTTCATATCCTTACTCCTAGTGTTGCTCTCTCTCTCTCTCTTCCCCTCCCTCCCCCCTTTAAGGAGATATCTTTGTCAGGATTCTGGACAGACATAATTTTCTGCAGTAACCAAGCATGAGGTTAATTCCTGCATATATGAAATGTGCATTATCTGAATATTCACTTGTTACTGAAAGGCAAAGATGACATAATATCAGTAAAACACACTAATGCTGTCACTTTAACAAGAGTACACTTAATATGTAAACTTCTGTTTCCTGTAAACTTTGAAGTTGAAACACCTTAAAGGAACATTGTAATAGGCCAAAGTAGTAGTTATCTTTTTATGTGAGGCATGCAAATATGCGGAGCTGACTTTTTAAAAATACTGGGTGCAACAGTGATATCCTACCAGGTGTTGCAGTATTTTAAAGAGTATCATGCAGATGTTGGCTGTGGACTGGATGCAGACATATACGGTATTTAATTTATTTTAATGCTAATCTAGTAAAAAATCAGTCTGTAAAATGGTGATCAGGTCAACAGAAGAACAGAGGTTAGGCTGTGGTCTTTTCTTCGCCATGGTGTAATGCTGCAAAATGTGGATTAGAATCCTATAGCTGAATTAAAGGTGAGTGAGGAGTCCATGCTAGTAATTTAACTGACAGTCAGATTAAGAGATATGACAGCTTTCTGCATTAGTATGAGAAGTGGATAGTAAATTTTAGATGCATTATCTAGTTAACAGTGTGTAACCTGCACTGATTTTTAAATTTTCAAGCAGTTTTTTATTTTTGAAAAAAAATGTAATTAAGTACAAATTAAAACCACTTTATTTCCAGATAAGATAATGAACTGCTTCCTGAAAGATGAATCTTTCAGTGTTGTTGTCATTATCAAACTATAGCTATTTATTTTGTAGTTTTATCTGGACTATACAATTTTTTTCAAAAAAGAAAATTATTTTTTTCTGGTTATCTCATTAACATAATCTCTCAATGTGATACTTACTAAACCTTGTTATCAGGTAATAGGGATAGAAAAATTTGGCAACAAGTTACTATTCTCCTAAATTGTACACATACATGCAATTACGAGAAGCGGGAAATTAGCAGAATCTTAAAAATAATTCCAAGATTTGGTTTACAGAGGTTGTTGCTACTCTTATAGCACTTGGAGTTTCTTACTGTTTCTGCTGAAGTCATTAAAACTGAATGCATCCAGTAAGGACAGAATTTGGCCATCTAGTCAGGAATTTGTGATACTTTACATAGTACAGTTTGACTTGTTTGAAATTAATATCCCTGTGCTTATATGATTGAAAATGTGTGTGTCTCCATTTTTGGTCATAAATCTAGGACTTAATTTGCATTCCATCTATTGCATTTCAAAATCATTTGGGAAGCTCTTTTCCATGTACAGATTTTTATAATTTGATAGTCTGAGGAGCACAAAATATATTTTAATATATTTGTGTTTATATGCGTTTGGGGTATCTCCTGACCTGGGTTTACAGAACACCTGGAATAGTGTCTATGATACAAGAAAGTATAACAAAACTTTTTAAAACTTACATGTGTTGTGTTTCAGTTGTACAGTGACTGAGGAACAGCTCTTCTAACCATACTGTGTAGGTTTGCTTTCCCCTTCTGCTTGATATTAGAGTAGCAGTTAGAGCATCTCTAGATGTTTTCAGCCTGTTGATTAGTTGCTACATATTATTCAGTTGTCTTGAGACTTTTTATATTCTGATTTTCACTATTTTTTGATATATCTAAAAATAATTATATATAAAAAAATAAACCAACTAAGTATTTTTAAAACAAATCTTATCAAGTCAAAAATTCATACTGCAGAAGTTTAAGGGACATTTTCTGAATTTTGGAAACTGGATTTAAAAATAACTACAATAAAATATTTTTTCCTGTTTTGATAGTAATATAAAATGAACTTACAGAGGACCTAATTTATATTAAATCTAGGATGTACAGACTCAAGTATGAATGCAAAGAGAATGGAAAATACCAGAGAAGATATATGCATATGCAGACAGAACAATTTAACCTCTAAACAGAGGTCATAAGTGGAGTAGGTGTACCTAACACTTAAGGTAAAACATCAAAGTGTAAGGGGAGAAGAGCTCTTACCTGTGTGGAAGAATATATGTATGTAAATGAGGGTAAAATGACTAGAAGGTGTGCATATATTGTGGGTCAGGGGAGAGTGTGGGGAATAAAATGTTAAAAAAAAAAGTTCCTAATACTATGCCTGAAACAAATGATTAAGGTACTAGAAAAACAACATTATACCATTTCTAGAGCAGATAATATACTGTGTCATCCCTGGAGCAAACTGGCTAAAAAATTTTGATTAGGTTTTTGAATTTGAATCTGGAATGAGCTTTAGGCGTAGATGATGTATTTTAGTCTTATTGCTACAGGGGATCCTATACTTAAAGGAAAACAAGGAAAGAAAGCAATAGAACAAATGAAACCCAAGGCACACTCATAGATCAGTTGCTCTTTACTTGAATAACAAGTTTTTTGGAGACTCAAACGACATTTATATAGAGTGAAATAGTTAAATTAATTTGCAGTTGCATTGCCAAGTAGAAAAGTAATTTTGGAACATGATACTGAAAATAGATGTTGGCAAGTACAAGAAAATGCTCAGAAGAGGTGGGGCAAAAGTAGCTACATAGAAATAGTAGCCAGTGCCATTCAGAATTAAACGTAGAACAGGAGATTACCAATATATGAAAGAGGATTTAACAAAAGTATATGCCTTGATAGCAGTTGTGCTGATGTGCAGCCTTCATGGAGGAGACTGAGTTGTATAACTAAGACATCCCTATCTAAAACAGAATATACATCACACTAATTAACACTGGACAGTGCTAATATGCCTAGGATGTTTGAGATATATATCTATATATATGTGTGTGTGTGTATATACATAAAATTGAGAAAGCCTTGCCTTATATTTTTCCTTTTTTATATTTGAGCATTGAAGAGCTTGGCTGGTGAATTTGATCTAGGTTGCTTCCACAGAATAACCCTAACTTGCTTGACTTTGACGAGGTTATATTTAGTAAAGGGAATGTGAAGAGGCTTCAGTGGGACAGGTCAGTGGTAAAAACTCAGAGACCTTGTCTTTATTTCCAGCTCTGATACTGACTAGCTGTTTGTTGCTTTGGAGATGACGTTTTAACATCTCTAGTCCTTGCCTCACCCTTCTTAGAAAGTGCAAATTCTTTGGGGCACGGTCTCTTTTTATTTTCTTTTAAAATGTTGCTTAGAGTATAAATCCCCACAGAATTCACTTCTCTAAGCAGTACTCTAATTACAGCAATGATAAATATGTTCCAGTTAGCTGAAAGGGGATATTTTGAACCTGTATTCACAAAAATATTAAAAAACACTGACCTTGAATGAAATAAGGTAATGCAAGTTTTGCTTTTCCATATTTGTATATTTGAGCCAAACCTACAAGTTCATGATTAATAATAATGAAAATGGAAATTTCTCTACACATATTTGATTTCTATGCATATATTCTGAATGCGTGAGTTCTCTGCTTCAAAACCAACATTTTTTATTTTGTTGATGTGCATATAATTTAAGATTCATGTGAAAGAAACAAATAGGAGTCACAAGTTGACTTGATTAATTTTTTCCTCTAACAACAAACAACATTGAAACTTGCTAAGTAGTCCTTGTTCAGCTGAAGTCCCATGGAAGCTGAGAACAAAAAAAGGAAAAGAGGGAGTTGCATATGTATAAAAACCAAATAAAATTGCCTGATTATGTTTAAAGTAAAAACATTATGTATGAAAGTATGTTACTGTCTGATAACATTTGTTGAGCTTGATGCTTCTGTTTTGGTGTGTGCTTGCTAGCGTGAACGGTCTTGATCAGATTTCTTTGAGGGATGGACTATTTCAGTACATTAGCATTAAAATTTGCCGATTTGTGGTTGTTTTCCAAAGGTAGCAAATGATCTCAGGATCTATCTGTTTTATTTTTTACAATTTTTTACTTTCTCAAAGCTATGTAATATCAAGATCTGTAATGGACAATATTGTGTAGATTCCTGAAATGCTTGTTAGAGGAACAGCCTAGCTACCCTAGTGTAAGGGCTGCCTCTAAGATGTGAATTATTTATTCAAGTAATGTAATTTGTATGTGTTAGATGCATGTTTATGAAAGGCATTCTACTTTGTTGTATGTTACTTTAAAAGTTTCCAAGCCAATGCCTGTGAAAATTTGTTTTGAGCACTGTGGAAAAGAATGAATATGAGTGGATCAAAGAATGTATCATTGAGCCTTTGGGCAACTAAAAGTTCAAAACACAACCAAAAATACATATTAAAGATGTCTGTTGCTGTGTTTTAAAGTTGTTGCAATTTCAAATCTAGAGAGTTTTCTGTTTTCAGATAAAATAATATATGCAAGGAACGTTCGAAATTACACAGCCTATTAAAGAACACTGGTATGACTACAGGCTTTTTTGAAATCCCCTATGACTTTTTTGCTAACACTTCAGAACCTGCTGAGTTTTCATAGACTTTGGACAGTTCTGTGGTATTTGAAGTAAAAGTGTTAACTTTAAAATTGGTTAATCTGCACATAGCTTTAATCTTTAATTATGAGGTTTAAATCATGTTAATATAAAAATTAGTATGTCTAAATTAGTGCAAACTCTTACTCTGAGAGTTGTACCCTGCAGTTTTATGGGGAGTATGTTAGACTAAAATCTAAAGCTCTCTAAAATAACTGCACTTTTTCATTTTTCAGTAAGAAATAAAGTTACCTACACTGTTTACACCAAATAACATTTGGACATTTATATGATTTTTAAAAATTTATTTATTTTAAATTGAGGATAACAATTTTTTCTCGTGGTGTATGAAATCTTTGTGAATTATAAGGCTTTCTGATTAGAAAATATTTGTCTGTTCTGTTATTATACAGGTGCATATTTGTACAGTTGCACATGAGTGAATTGCTGTAGATTAGTGATTTGAGGTAATTTGTGAATTGAGGTAATAATATGCCCACTGTGAATTGGTTTCTGCATTATCTAGGAGCATTTATATGGTCAGTTAATGATTGTGAAACAGCTGGTGAGTGAGCACTCATTTGATAATGTGGGCATATTTGACTGTTTCTTTTGATTTTTCTAGAATGTTTTGATGTCCTGTTTTTTATTTCTGAATTTAAAGGTTATTCCACCGAAGGAGTGGAAGCCAAGAAAACATTATAACGATATTGAAGATCTGGTGATTCCTGCTCCAATTGAGCAGAGGGTCATTGGCCAGTTGGGGCTCTTCACACAGTACAGCATTCAGAAAAAGCCCATGGCAGTGAAGGAGTTCAAGCAGCTGGCCAACAGTGACAGGTAGGTATGTGGGGGATCTTGCTTAGAAAGGCAAATATTTATTTCTATATTGTGGTTTCTTTGTATTGTGGTAGGCAGCTAATGATTTTTTTTCACTTACTCAGTGGAGATTTTCCTGTCTCCTAAGTTGTGGAAGGCTACGTCAATATGAATCTTGTTTGTTTCTGTTGCTGAAAGCATACGGTACCATGACAGCAAAAAAGCATCTGCAAAACCTGAGACATGATGCCTTCTCTCTACCATTTTTTATTTCTGTTCTAACAAATGCTTATGTTGAAAATAATGAAGATGATACAGATTTATAGTTGAGTTTTATTTTAAGTACACCTATTAATGTTTAATATTACCTGCATGCTGGAATGGCCTATAATCATATAATTCTGAAAAAAATACAACATATTTTTTTAACTTGCCCAGTAGTTTTTGCATCAATCTAAGAGAATTTAGCTTCACCTCATGAATGTTTGTATTCTAGTTAGGGCAAGATGGATATTAAGGGAGGGGGAAAAAAGTCTGTGAAGGGCTAGGCACCATACTAAAAAGTTTCAAATTGGTGGGTGTTCCAAGAAGAGAGAAGTATTAGAAGGAATTCTTCCCTATTCTTTTTGGCCCCATAAAAAAGAATAAATTCTGCTTCCGTATTTCCTCAAAACTGACTGGAAATAGTTTCTGGAAGGTGAGTCAAAGGATCCTAGAGAGAAAAGGTATATGGATATAATGAAGGAAGGTAATACTGCCATAGTTTGAAGGAAAGTTTCTCTCATAAATTAAGAAATTAAGGTGTAAGAAGAGAAGCTGTTATCAAGATCAGGAAAAGCTAGAACAAGAATGCAATCCTCAACAAATGTTCCATGCCTTTTTAAAAGTACAAAACTCCTCCTTTTTTCAATGAAAAACTATCGGTATGTTTTTGCCCATATATTACTTGTGAAAAATTGAGGATATCACACTTAGAATTTTCTTCCTTCAGTGAGTGGGAACGGGAACCTATTTTGTAGTTCTTAAAATTATTTGTTCAGGAACTATTAGAGGAGAGAATAAAATATAAAACCTGTATGGTATCTGATGTCATTTTCTGTGATACCTGTTCATATATTTTTAAAGTTTACATTTGATTAGCCCATGATAAAATGAGAAACACTAATTTCTTAAAATAGTTTGATAATGCAAAAATAGTGTGAAGGTTTTAATATGTATCATAATATTAGTTAAGTTTATTGTATTCTTTATCATGGGAGATATTTTGCAAGTGTTACTGATTTCAGTTTTCAAGTTTTTTACTGAAATAGGTTTACAACTTAATTTCATAGGTAAAGTTAAGAACAGTTGGGAGGGCTTCTTATTTATTACTAGCTGTAGGTCTTTCTAAATATACATCACTGCTCTTGAGAAAATGTGTCATATAACTTCTTATGCCACTCTTAATGCAGTCTATATTTCTTAAACTGTCAAGTAGCTGAAACCCCTTATTCTCTCCTAAAAATAATTTTGTTCCTTAATGAAGACTTCTCTGTACAGAGACTCTTTTCTTGAGTTTTGTGATGTTATTAATTTCCTTTGAGAAAGAGAGAAGGGCCATGAGCATCTAAATTAAATCATAGTTGCCTTTAAAAGGATTTTGTGTGCTCAGTCTAATGCATTTCATCTTTTATGTGTTTAGGCATTCACAATTCATGATTGAACCAAGGTGCTTCTCCACCTTAACCTCTGGGAAATATGGTCATACCTGCTTCCTGTAATCAAGACACTTGTGTTATGGTAACTGAGTTTGTGTCCATATTACTCAGTGCCAAGCAGAAATACAGTCTGATTTCTGGAGATATGTGTGTGTGTATATATATAAATATATATGTATATGTATCATGAGAAATAATTGAAACAACTCTATTGCGGAGAATGCTTTGGTTAAGATGTGCTTTGCTAACTTGCTTGTTTCTGTTCTGTGTTACTGCATGATGTAAATGTACCTGGTCTACTTAATTTTGTATGTTTGGATTTTCTTTCCAGTAGTTCAAGTGTAGTAAGTTCGCAGTGCTGATATGAATGGGGGACCAAGTTTTCTTTTCTGAAGGCCTAAATATGGGAGAACAGCGGTCTGATAAAAGATCCTGAGGCAAAAACTATTGATGGATGTTTTCTATGGTAGTGTGCTTGTGTTGTGTTCCCACAAGATTTTACATGAGCTTTGAGCAATCTTCCAAAACTATATACATTAATATATTTATGCATATAAAAGTATGGTACCCTGTGCTGCACTAAAGAAAGAAAAAGAAAAATGCCCTTAAAACATTTTTTTTTTTCCACTGCATAGTAGAATTTCTGATATCAACTGTTTGAAACATTACACTTTCTTTCAAAACATTTTTATAGGAAGGAAGAAGAGAGGGAAGTACTGTTTTTGCCTGGCAGGGCTGCTACTTGACAGAATTAGTACTTGTGCAGGACCTACCTCGGTGTCTTTGCGGAGCTGATAGTGAGGCAGGAAAATAACAAATAATTGTCAATTAAGTGACTTTTTCGTGTGTGCCTCTTTTATGGAATAGAAACAAAAGGGAGGGCCTCAGCCTGAGGATAGTCAATGGATGTGCTGTTTAGCTGGTGGAAAATGAAGAAAATGTTGTATGAGTGGGTGTATGACTTCAGTTACTGTAGCTGTTAGGGAGGAGGTTACATGCTATGGTGAATCATGAAACTGAGAATTTGAGACAAGTAATAATTCCTCTATTTCAGTGAATTTGAAATACAGTGATCTCTTGGAATTCAGTTTGTAGGATCAGAAGAGTAGTCCATTGTGAAGGTGGTTGTTGAAAGATTATGCTGAACCTTTTCCTGCTTCTTCCTCTGCAGATACCGCACGCCAAGTTATGTAGATTATGAAGATCTGGAGCGTAAATACTGGAAGAACTTGACTTTTGTGGCACCAATTTATGGAGCAGATATCAATGGGAGCATTTATGATGAAGTATGCGTAGTTTTTGATGAAGTTTCTCTCTTCTAGCCCCCTTTTTAAAGGGTACTATACTTAGAGGATACATTCTTGCTTTGTGACTGAGAATCTGTCTGTCTTTTGAAATCTTTGTGTTATTCACTTTAAAGACTCCAAGCAAGGTTGAAATTAACTCTACATCTGCATGAGTCAGACAGTTCTGTGCTTAGACAGTAGGATATTGCTGTTCTTCTTGATCAAAGACTCTTCCCTTTCTTCACTTTGAACTCTCTAGAACTTTGAGATTGCTTCCAATTTATTTGTTTCTTAACATTTCAATATGCATGCTATCTGTGTACCTCTGTGGAAATTTAGTGTTACTTTAAATAACTTTTACTGTAAAATTAAATGATGAAATACTTTATTTCTCTCTCTTTCACTGAGGAAAATTGATAGCTGTTATTTATACATGCTTGTAATGCCTGCAGTTTCCTGGAAATATGCTTCCAATTACTGTGTACTTCTGAATTAAAATAGATGAAACACAAACTTCCCAATGAAATGAATTTTGCTGGCTACTTGCCAAGATCTCCATGGATAAAAAGGGACTCTTAACACAGATCTCAGTATCCAAAGAATTACAGAATATCCACTGATATCAATTAGGCTATGTAAGTAGCTATAGGAACTAGATTTTGAAAGGATTATTTAAGTAATGAGACTAACAGAAGAAATGTTAGCATTTCAAAGAAGATTTGAGGATTTAAGAAATACAGGGCAAACATTACCCCAAAAGAATCTACCACGTGTGGAGTTCTTGAGTTGGTTCATATTCTGTGTAACTGCCTTCTCTGGGGCAGATGGACTGAGGCTCTGCTATGTTTCATACTTTTTCACGGAAGACAAATTACTTGAAGACTCTGTCCAAAGATAAATGCAGTCAGCCAGGATGACTTAAGGCAATTCAATTTTTGTTCTAGGTTATGTGATCTTTGAAAAATGTCTATAAATGTCCAATGGTCTATTGTTTAGAGAAAGTAGCAAGTTCAAATTCTATTGTGTGTCCAAATAGCTGTATAAAAGTTATTTAGAAAATAATTGAAGGTTCTGATTTGGGGTGTTTTGGTGAAGAGACATTCTAGATGGCTACTGCTTTGTGGGCACAGGAAAGCAGTGTTTGTTTCAAGAAAGAGAAGCTTGCCCTTTTTTTTCTTCTCCGATTTTTGTTTTGTTTTGTTTTCCCCTTTAATGATAACAGAGAATGCCTTCTGGTGTAGTCTTTTACAAATACATACTTTGTTTTGATTGTGTTTTCTTTGGTCTTCAGTATCTTGGGGTTACTGTTGCATGAGCAACATTTCGGAAGAAAAAATAATGCTGTAATATCTGATTTTGAAGTGCTGACTCCTCAAAGAGAAGGTCAGACTTTTCCTTCTCATGGAGATGCACTCTCATGAGATTGAGAGTCTGAGGAAGGGAGGTCAAAAAAGCAAAAGGTAAAGTGATAAGAGCAGCATTCAGCAATCCTAATGAAAATGTTAGATGCACAGGAGGAGGAGACAAAGCACTGAAAGTTGCAGGGAGTGGGGAATAACAGAGTGCAGAAGAAAACAGTAATAGGTAGAATAAGAAAACCTTAATGGCTATGGTTAAATGGATATTGTTTAAATAACAAAGGAGAAATGTTAATGAATGGAATAGGCACTGAGGAAAGAGTGTAAACAGGCTGAGCAGTTAATGAAGTGGACATGTCACGGTGCATGGCCCAGTGGGTTTTAGAGGAAAAGAAGAAAAACCCTGGTACTATGCTGTTGGTGAAAAAGTTACAGATGCCACTGATCAGAATGTTTTGTCTTAGAATATTTTTGTTGAAGTTCATTTTTGGCCAGCAGATGGTGGACTTGCACAACTAATATTTTTCAAGCCTTACACTTGAAAACAGTGCTAAGAAAGGATCTTTTAAATTCTGTGTGGAATTAGAAGTTGCTATTATGTTTTCATTCAGTTTGCTTCAGGTTTGTCATTATTTGGGGAAAGGAGATAAATACAAGTAGCTGGCATTTTGGGCAGCATACAGCAGAAATGGAATGTCGGGATTAATTTGTTGTAACAACCTATTTGCAATAAGACCAAATGCTTACTTCTTACTAAATGCATTTCATAGAAAACAGTGTGTTGTAGCTGTTGCATTTAACACAGAAAGGTAAATGTCTGGCAGAATTAAGGTAGATAAATGCCAGCAATTTAATAAAAATGTGATGCTTATGTGTATTTGGGCCATCAAAATTAGTGAGAAATGCTGCTGTGCTGCAAGTCCTTATTCTTTAGCTTAAAAGTTTAGGAATTACATTTTCTTTTCCACATGGTGAAGTTCAATTTTACGTTGAGACATCTGTATCTGAAGCATGATGAAGCCTTAATTTTTATTATTCAGATTATTTAAAAACCAATATTGTTATTTGTGGAATCCAGTACCTTGTTGGCATTTTGCCAGAGAGATCATAGATCATGCAGTATTGTTTGCTTTCTTAGGTCAGAGGATGACAGATTCTGAGGGGTTTAGAAGACAGGGCGAAGTTATACAGCCTGTGTTATATGGAACAGCAAGAAAAAAAAAGAGCAGGAGCAAGTCTATAAATGCATTCTTTGAAATTTGACAACTACTATCAATGATTCAAAGTTTACTGTTGTGATATTTGGATTACTCCAAAATCTCTGTTTTGTATTTATGATTATTTGACAGTTTTGAACACTCATTAAATCTTTATGATTAAGGAAATAACCTATGAGAAGTTTTCTATACACTGTATAGAGCTTTAGAGAAAATAAATTTAAGATAGTTTAATGTTTACTTGAAATATATTCTGGACTGTATGCATTTTAGTTGCTGTTACATTTAATTACAGTGCTTTGTAGGAGAATGACAATGTAGGTGACTCAAGGAAAAGCACTGCACTAAGGAGCAGATTGTAAAGATCATTATTTTTGTTAAGATTATAAATATTATTAGATATATGTTCAAGGGTCTGTCTTTCTGTTGCTATAAGGTCATCTGAACTTGAGTGAAAATTAATATTCCTGAAAGAGTTTATAATGTCAATAATAAAGCACCAGTCTCACTAGCTGCAGTTGTTAAACTGATTCATGAATTGATTATGAACACCTAGGAGTTATGGTTATTTAGGAAGTTTAATTGAGAAGTGATTATTTCTTTTTTATTATATTATTTGAAGAGAGCTGTCTTCCTTGTGAGTTTACATGAATGAAATGCAAACTTGAGCCAGTTTAGGCTGTGAATGGTCAGCCTGTGAAACAGTTGCAAGAAGGTACTGTTCCTGTCAGGGAAGAGAAAGAAGAGTTATTTTGTTTCTGATAGCATAACTTTATTAACTTTTTCTGGCAATTGTACCTGGGAGTAAATTATAGAGTGCCATTCACCTACTTTTTCTGTAGAATCTTTGTGCTGGTGAACTACTTTGAGGCCTTCCACTTCCATGCCAGTCCCAACTGTTGTTTAAATCAAACCACCAATCACTGAGGCCACAAATTAAGTTGTTTCCTTGTTGTATGAGATACAAGGAGCTCAGATTAACTTGTTTCCTGTGTGGGTTTTTCTTGTTTGTTTTGTGTTTTTTGGTTGGTGTTTTTTTTTTTTTGTTTTGTTTTGTTTTTTTTTTGTTTTTTTTTTTTCCCTGTGTTTAATTAATTTGAAATTGTATTTTTATGGACAGATGGGAAAGGTATATGAAACCCTTACAGGGACTGATTTAGCAACTATTGGGAAAAAAAATATCTTCCTGGTTTCAAAAGAAGTTCCAAAGAAAAGTGACTGATGTGATGTTTATAATGAGTCATAAGACACATCTGACTAAAGTGCTGTCAGTGGCATCTGCTATTCAGTAGAGAAAAGCCAAGGTCTGGAAGAAGCACGTATAGATATTGTCTTGCCTCTCTCTCTCACCACTCTTTTTCAGCTTCTGTCTTGAAGATACCACTTTACTTCCCTTTTCCTTCTCTTAGTTTTATTCATCCTGATAAGACAATTCCTAATGCCTACCTCCTCCCATGTCTAATATGTGGGGAGCATATTTGATTAGTAATACAAGAGTGATTGGTTCAGTGGAATTAGTAGGCTAACAGTTATTTTTGCTAAATTGTAGGTACATCTCTAATGTAGTAAATCTAGCAACAGATGTTCTCAAGTTTCCTGCTCTATCCCTTGACAGAGCAGCTGACTTGATTTTAAATCAGCACCTTGACATTATAAGTAGAGTCTGGATTTGACCATGAAATGAGTTGGGGATGGCATCTGAGTTGTAGCTTAACCCAAGGCTGCAGGAGTGCAGCAGGTGTAAGCAATCCAAGAGTCTCTGGAGAGCATGAGTGACAACTTCCTGACCAAAGTTGTCTGCTGGACCTCATACTCACAAACAAGGAAGGACTTGTTGAAGGCAGCCTTGACTGTAGTGACCATGAGATAGTCAGGTTCAGGATCTTAACAGAGGTGTCAAGACAGAAAGCAGGACCATAGTGCTGGCTTTCAGGAGAGCAGACTTTGGCTTCTTCAGTGATCTGCTTGAAAGAGTCCTGTGGGATAAGGCCCTGGAGGGAAGAAAGGCCCAAGAAAGCTGGTTGGCAATCACTTCCTCTAAGCTCAAGAGTGGTCAGTCCTAATGAGCCAGAGGTCAGGGGTCTGCATGGATGAACAAGGAGCTTCTGACACATGAACAGGAAATACACAGGAGGTAGAAGCAGGGACATGTAACCTGGGAGGAATATAGAGATGCTGTCCCAGTATGCAGAAGTGAAACTGGGAATGTCAAAACCTACCTGGAATTGAATCTGTATCTTGATGTTGGAGGCAACAAGAAGGATTTCTATAATTGTACTCCAGGGATCAATACTGGGTCTGGTTCTGTTTAACATCTTCATTAATGATTTGGGTGGTGGGGCAGTTTGCAGACAAGACAAAACTGGGAGGATCAGCTGATATGCCATTGGGTTGTGCTACCATTCAGAGGGACCTTGACAGGCTG